ATGCCCCCCAAAATAAATAAAATGCTTATCCTTTGCACATCATTTTGATGTGGATCTTTTATGTCATGGCAGCAAGATAAACTCTTTAAGTCCGCATGATTAACATCCCGTTTTATAGCTAAGGAAACTGGGTTCAAGAGATTTGAAAGTGGCATTAAATCACCCAGTTAAGAAGCAGCAGAGCTAACTCAGGTCTGAGATTTCTACCTGAAGATCAGCCTGCGCTTGACTCTGTGAAATCATTTGTATTAGGCCACTTTAATGACCATGCCTGTAATGAAGCTGAGAGAAATCAGATCATCAAGGCTCTGTCTGTCGGGCCCTGGAAATGGTTTCTGAACCGTGAGTCCCCTGTCAGGTTGTGTCACTGGGGGGATTGGACCCTGTGGTTGCATCAGTCATGATACCCACAGTGCCACCTCACAGGATTGCTCAATGGAATGCTTGCACCTACACACCAGCGGAGAGAAAACTCTGGAAGTTTTGTCTTATACTAGTGGTAAATACCAGTATGTACAAATTTAAGAATCCAAATAAAGGAAGAAAATAAAGCTAGACAAGTGTCAAACATCTATAATCACAGCACTCAGAAGGCTGAGGCAGGAGGATCATAGATTCAAGCCCAGTCTGGGCAACTCAGTAATTTAGTGAGACCCTGTCTCAGAATAAGAAACAAAAATTAAAAAAGAAGAAAATAAATACTGCCCATGATCCAGTTACCCAGAGTCAATGGGTGTTAATGTGTCAACGTGTACCTGGGGACTTTTCTCCCTAGTGGGAAATGCACACATAGACTTTTACAACACACAGCTGGAGTGTGAGCATCCTGCTGGCTCCTCAACCCACGTGGATCCCACGGAAGTCAGAGCAGGGCTGCACAAGCCTCTGGGTAGGGCTGGACATCTTGCGTTGGCTGAGCCTACGGTGTGGAGGTTACATGGCTCTTGGCTTTGTTGAGACCCTTGAATAATTTCCTTAGGATCAAGGTGAAGAAGTGAAGTGCTGGTCTGCAGCATTCGTTTTCAGGCATTTTATTCATACCCAGCAGTACTCCCAAAGCATGGCCCTGTCCTGCCTGCAGCAGACCAGGTGCCGGGCCCTGCACTTGTCCAGTACTGGCTGCTCACTGTCTTCAGTTATCTGCTGATACTTGCCAGGCTGATCATGTGACCATTCTGGGTGGTGGTTTTTGGTTTGTTTGTTTTTTTTTTTGTCTTTTTTGAGACAGGGTTTTACTCTTCAGTTCATGCTGGCTGTGAATTCACTTTGTAGCCCAGGTTGGCCTTGGACTCCCAGCAATCCTCCAGCCTCAGCCTCCCAAGTGCTGGGATTACAGGCATGCACCACCATGCCTGGCATATTTTATTAATTTTTATTTATAATTCTTTTTTTTTTTCTTTGTGGTCGTGAGGATGGAAGCCAAGGCGTCACACCCTGTACCCAACCCTTAGTTTATATTTCTTTGATGACCAAGGAGGCTGACCCTTAAAGAGCATCTGTAATTATACTGGGAGTTCCTTTTTTGGTGCCTCTTTTCACACAAATCTGTTTGGACTTTCCTGGTTTGTTTTGGTTTTTTTTGGTACTGGGAATCAAACTCACAACCTTGAGCTTGCCAGGCAGGCGCTGTGCCGCTGAGCTAATGCCCCAGCCTATTTGGACTTTTCAGTGTTTTTCTATTAACACTCGGTTGAATAACTGGCTTGAGAGTTGCACTCTGGGGACAATTTTCAGTGACTTGACGTTAACCTAAAGGGACATTTAAAGTGATCTTTCAAGGTCTCCGGCCCTGCTGCCTGTTCTCATTCCATGTCTTGGATAGAGAAGTCAGGGCATTAATATTTCAGCTGATGCCAGAGGTCACCCTCGCGATCACGGACATCAAGTCCACTGTGCCCTGGGTGGCTTGGGGAGAGGGAGCTATGGCAGGGGAAAGGTGACATGCTCTGTGTAGGGGACAAGAGCCAGAACCACTGTGAGATTAAAGGAAAGAAAAGGGGCGTGGAGGACTGAGCTGTCCAGCAGGACCTGAGGCTCCCCTGTCCCTCTGTACCCCAGAGACCTCGCCAGCGCTTGTCCGGCTGCTAGCAGTTCACCCAACAAACACTCCTGTGGGCTCTGTAATCGCTCCGGCACCACGGCGAAGCCCACATTTTCACAGGAGTGGAGCGATTGCCAGTGGGGAGACTGGGATAAAGAGTGCTTCAGGTTGTTCAGCCTCAGGAGGAAGAAGGCTAAACTGGGGGACCCTTGCCTCCCCAGAGGATGTAGCAGGAGGTCCTCACTTACTAGATAGAGAAGGAACAGGCAGGGCGGGACCCTTTGACGATACAGGCGTCATCTACCTGTAAAGTGCTGGGGAGGGGTTGGTTCCCAGGGCTCTAGGGAAGTCGCAGTTTCCGGGTCAGGCCACCAGGGGTGACAGTAACTTCACAGTGTGTCCCCAGCACCTCAGGATGAAAGTCAGTGATCCCAGAGCAGTGGCTGAAACCCGGCGGCCCTAAAGCTTCCCTGTGCCTGGGGGCGGGGGAGTGCTTGAGGCGCCCTTGGGGTTCTCCCCTGTGTCCGCTGTGCTGAAGCTCAGCTTGAGCCTCATGCTGGAGCGGGGGTAGGGGTTTTGCGCCTCTTCAGCTTTGCCGCTGCCTCCCTGGGGACAGGGACTGGGACGGGCTTCCATGGACCGGCAGGTGTGTCTCATCAGCCCGACTGTGAGGCCCACACAGGGGTCACCGTACAAAGGACGGGCACACGGGCTGGCTCACTCAGCCATAGCCGCTGAGCCGCTGAGCGTGGATGTGAGAGCACGCAGTCAATGCAAAAGAGCTTCGGATGTGGAGAGGGGAGAAACCAGGAGGGCCTGCGTGTGATGCCCAGGGACTGTCGGTCACCAGAGGAGGGCGAAAGAAGGGGAGCCGCTGGGGATAGCAGAGGAAGCCTGTGTCCAGGCAGCGTGTGAGAGACAGCTGCTCCCTTTGTGCTCTGTGCCAGGTGCCGTGTGAGGTGCCGGGAGGCAGAGAAGAAGGAGCAAAGGATCCTGTTTTGTTTTTCTTTAGGACAGTAGAGTTGCTGGGTTTAGTGCCATTGCCGCATAAGACATGTGCATCAAATCTACCTGCATAGTGTAGCACATCTGTGCTAGCGAGCACCTCAGGACTGAGTCATGCACACCAGCAGCCCTGTTTGACGTGGAGCATGGAAGCCCAGAGGAGTGAGGAGGCTTGGCGTTGCTGTGCAGATGAGTGAGTGGCCAAGTCCTTTCAGTCCAGATCCGGTGTCCGGCAGCAGGACCCGTGTCACAGGCCTTCCCCGAGGAGGGCACGAGAGGAGTAGGGAGCGGGTGCAGACACGTGGGCTTCCAGAAGGTCAGAGTCAAGCCTGGTAGAGGGGTGGCTGTCATCAGCCTACCCTCCTGGGGGTGCGCCTTGGTGGATCCTGCTGGGGGAACGAGCCCAGCACCCACTGCCTTGGTCCCTTCACGGGCTTTATGGAGCACGCGCTTCCTCGACCCCCCTGCCCCTTCTCTCCAGACCTCGCCAGGCTGGTGCTGTTGAAGGCTGGCTGCCCCCACAGCCCTGCACCAGCTCCTTCCTCTCAGCCAGCTCTCTCCGGAATCTCCTCTGCCTTCCGAATGCCATTACCTGCCTGCATCTGGCACCCGCTGCCCTGCGCACCCCAGCCCTCTTTTTGCTTTCCTTCATCCGGTTCCTGCACGTTGCTGAAATCTCATGGCTGGAGGAGATTTCATGTTGTGTTTCCTGCGCACCCCTCCAGCTGTTGCTCTGTTATCTGGTATTGCTCATTTCAAGGATGTTTTTAAGCACTGCATTTTAATTTTGAATAGATCTGACTATAAAGTTCTTACTTATCTTGGAACATATTTTTTCATAGACTTTTTTGTCTTGTTTCTATTTGTGTGTTTTGCAGTTCTGGGGAACAAACCCAGATCTGTGGACATGCTAGGCGTGCAGAGCGCCTGCCACAGCCCCATCCTGCATACCTGTTGCCTGCACAGAATTTGCTCCTCAGTCTCTCTGGGGACATTAGTAAGAACTCTAAATTCATTTTTGTTTACTAGATTAGCTCTGCTCTTAGACGCCAGTCACTTTGCCTTGTCGTGCTCATGAGTGGTTTTCCTGAAATGTCTTATGAGCCAGTCGTGACACATCTGTAATCACAGCGCTCTGGCTAGCTGAGGCAGGAAGATTATAAATTCAAGCCCAGCCTGGTCAGTTTACCCAGTTAGCCAGATCCTGTCTCAAAAATCATGTGAATCTTGACCTGTCTTTCATGTCTGCAAAGGTGATGTCACATAGGTCATTGCAGAGTTACAGAGGCTTCCTTGGTAGTTGTGTGGTCACCGATCCACTAGCACACATTTGTCCTCAGGTGCCTGATAGCTGTTGAGCCATCACGTCAGCTTCCCTCCAGAGGAGTACAGGGGTACTGGGGGACAGAAGGTCTTTTTTTTTTTTGAGACAGGGTCTCACAGTGTAGTTCAGGCTGGCCTTGAACTGTGTAACTCAGGCTGGCCTCAAAGTTGCAGCAATTCTCCTGCCTCAGCTTCCCGAGTGCTGGAATTACAGGCATGTGCCACCACACTCACTAGACAGGAGGTTTTCATTTGCTATGTCTCAAAAAATACTCTTAGCAAACAGGAGCAGGGTGGGTAGAATAGTCTAATTATTCATTTAAATATTACCACAAGCTCTTGGTTATCACTAAGATAGTGCAGCTGCTGAAGCACACTTTTTACTCAAGGGAAGCAAATGCTGTTTTTGTAAGAATTCCCAGATCTCTCTGGATCCATGTTCTGTTTATAACCAGTTGCTTCCAAGCCTGCTGTACCACTTCCGTCCTGAAATTCACTTTTACAACAGTCCTGTGGGTTTCTTGATTTCCCATGTCTTTTTTTTTTTTAATTTCTTGGATAATATCTTTAAATAATTCTCTCAGAATCATGGACAGCAAAAAAAAATTTTTTTTAAGAGTAGGAAAATTTATGGGAGAAAAGGAATGAGACATAGGAATGGGGAAATGGGAATTAGGAATAGCTGCTGAGAAACAGGAGGGGTTCCCAAAGGGCTGCCAACAAGCCTGCCTCTCAAAGGAAGCTTGATAGAGCAAAATCATGATGTGAGTACAACACGGGTCAAAATTATGATCACCCGATAAGATTGCAAGTATAATTGCAAGTATCATAGGTAACACTGATCTAATGGTAGCAAGAGTACATGAGCGACATCGTTAACCTTGGTTGATAATCTATAGCCTTAGTCGTAGTAGGTGGGTGAGGATGGCCCACCCCTAATGAGTACTGGGAAATCTCAAAAGGGTGAGACCATTAATCCCAGGTCTCCATTCATCTGTAAGGGAAGTATGTGAAACTCGCCCCATGCCTTTCATCTTCCTGATACTTTCTCATCTGCGCGCACTCCCACAAGCGCCCAGCTCTGTCTGATTGCCTACTGTATTTCTACCCCATGTAGCTGTCTATAACGTTCCCTTCTCGGAAGAGGTATCCCTCAGTGCAGTTAGGGGAGAAGGCTGGTAGTTTGCATCTAGCTGCTTGGAGCTGAGAAGGGTTGGTGTATTGGAAACCACAGTCAGGGCCTCCTGCAGAGAGCTAATCTAATGGGCCTCAGAAGATGGACAGAAGACTTTTAATTCTTTCATTTATGACAGTGTATTTTGCTATCACACTTGAGTAATAGTTTGGTTGGGTGTAAAATTCCAAGTGCAAAATAAACTTCCCTCAGAATTTTAAATGCATTTTTCAATCTCTTCCTAAAGCCTAGGGTTAGGAATTAGAAGCTGGGTGATAATTTGGTGATCTCTTCCTTGTCCATTTGTCAGTGGTCTGCCTTTTCTTGGGGAGCTTCAGCCTCTCCTCTGGCTCCTTATGGTGTGCACTGTGCTGAGTGAGCTGAGCTGTGGGTCTGGCCCCTCACTGATGCATCCCACGGTGGGAACTGTCAGAACTCGCAAAGACCCTGGTAGGAATGTAAAATTGTACAATCACTTTGCGCATAGTTTAGTAGTTTCTTAAGAATTTAGTCTGGGTGCAGTGGTGCACACCAGTAGTCCCAGCTACAGAAGGCTGAGGCAGGATTACTGAGTCCAGGAGCCCAGGAGATCAAGACCAGCCTGGGCAACACAGTGAGCACTGTCACACAACAAAACAAGCTTAAGAGCATGTACCCTGCCTGCGACCCAGCTATTCCAGGACCAAGGAATGCATGTGCCCGTGCAAAGTTTTTACATAGCTTTATAGAGGTGCCTCGGCTCACTAACACTTCTGTTTGAGAACAGTTTGGTTTGCAAACAGAAGCATTTGGCAAAATTTTGTTTTTGTTTGTGAATTCTGCATCAGGAAACGAACATGAATGTAGCCACCTTTTCCAGCTGTGAAACAAATTAAGTTTGTGAACCGAGGTACCACAGTCCTTGTAATGTCCCCAACTGGAAACAAGTCAAAGATCTGCTAACAGTTGTTTAGATAAGCAAATTACAGATATTAAGCATAGTTGTACAGTGGACTACTACTGAACAATTGAAAAGAATAAAATATTTTATTTATTATTTATTTATTTATTTATTTTTTTTTTTTGAGACAGGGTCTCACTGTGTAGTCCAGGCTGGCCTCAAACTTGCAGCGATCCTCCTGCCCCAGCCTCCTGAGTGCTGGCATTACAGGCATGCATCACCATGCCCAGTGATAAAAGTAAATTATTGATATAACTGAGTCTCAAAATAATTATGCTGAACTAAGCCAACCAGAACACACTGTATGGTCCCATTTGTATCCGGCTCTATACATTGCAGACCAGTCAGCATATGGTGACAGAAACCAGTCTGAAGAGACATTGCCAGGAAGGAAGGGGTCACAGGTGACACAGGAAGTTTGGGGAAGTCATGGATAGGGTCCTTCCATGTGGCTTTCCGGGCCCCTCTGCAGTCGCTGGTCACAGGACAGAGCCGTCAGTCCTGCGTGGGTCTGCCAGGCCCTTGCCAGCCCCCGGGCATGCGCCACCAAGCAGAGGACTTGGCTCTCTCAGGAACTGTCCAGTCCAGGACAGGTGTGGGGACCCCAGGCTGCTTACACACACGCCACCGCGCCCTGGCCAACGCCCCAAGCACTTCCTGGACCTTCTGGGTGTCAGCCCTCAGGCCGCTGGGCCCCTTGTTGTAACACAGTCCCTTGTGTTCCGCAGCAGTGCAGCCAGCCCCCTCCCGGACAGTCACATTTTTAAGGAACTTTTTCTTTTTTTTGTCTTTTTGAGACAGGGTCTCGCTGTGCAGTTCAGGCTCACCTTGAGCTCACTTTGTAGCCCAGGCTGGTCTCGAACTCGCAACAATCCTCCTGCCTCAGCCTCCCGAGTGCTTTTAAAGAACTTAAAACTCCATTTTGACAGTGACTTTTCTCCTGCTGCTGCTAGAGGTTCTGGGGAGGGAGGAGGTGGACGCGTAGACTGTCTTAAAACGCCTGCACCACGCGCCTACCTGAAGAGCACCGAAGCACTCTGGCGTGTATTGCCCCACGCCAAGCACGTCCGAGCACAGCTCCCTGGCTTTTATATGTAGTCTTGCAGAGTCCTGGCCTCCCGAGGGCCAGCAGGCAGCATCCTCTCCCGATACCAGATCAGAGGCTCTGCACAGCTCTGGGGGCCTCCGGCCTCGGTCCAGCCTCTCTGCGCCCAGCAGCTTCATTTCCCGTCGGGGCCTCCCTTGCAGGACAAGAGCGTAGTTTAGGAACAATGATTAATGTCACTGGTCTCACTGTGTGTGTGATAGGGGCAGACCTCACCTGTAGCCCCAGCTATTCAGGAGGCTGAGGCAGGAGGATAGTTTGAGCCCAGGAGTTTAAGGCCAGCCTGGGAAACAGTAAGGTCCCATCTCAAAAAAAAAAAGGGGGGATGTTTCTCAGAATTCATTGGAGGACTCACCCAGAAGACCCCTTTATACCCGTAGGAAGAGAAGCAAGGAGAGCCTTTGTGAGGGGTGGATAGGGAGTCTTCCTGGTGGGTCCTGGATGAAAGCCCTGTTGGTGGCTACTCTGAGGGCTGCGTATTTGAACTGTCTGCGCATTCCTGTGCTCACTGAATTCGGTGACAAATGTGAACTGTGTTTATTACCACAAGGGAGATGTGGCCCCCACAGGCTGGGCCCCTCCTTCCTGCAGCTCCCTAGCATTTCTAGGTCTCTGGGGTCTTTTCCTGTGCTCCTTTCCCATGGCTAAGTACCGAGTCGGTGCTGGGTTGACAAGCAGTGCCCTTGTGTCCCTGTCCTAGACTACGGCTTCCCGGACCTCACGGAGAAGGCGGGGCCAATGGACATGGATGACGCTGGCCAGGCCGAGGAGCTGCCCAGCCTCTCCTCTGCCATGCCCAAGCTGAACCTGGTGGAGCCGCCCTGGCAGGTGCCTCTGGAAGAGGAGGAAGAGGAGGAGGAGGAGGAGAGGGAGAAGGAAGAGGTGGAGAGGGACGAGGAGGAGGAGGAGGAGGAGCTGCTGCCCGTGAGTGGGTCCCAGGAGGAAGCCACCACACAGGCCAGAGACTCTGTTCCCAGCAGCAGCAGCCAGGCCCCAGGCATCCCTGGACACAGGCACGAAGAGTCTGGAGACCAGGCCGCGTCGGGCGTGGAGGTGGAGAGCAGCGCGGAGCCCAGCTTGTCCCTTCCCTTGGTCACCCCCAGCGTGGTGACCCCAGGGCCTCAGGACCTGCCCAGCCAGCAGGCTGGGGCCACTGTGCTGCCGGCAGCCGGATCCCGGATAGAGTTCGAGGTCCCACGAGAAGCCAGTGAGGAGGCTACTGTGGGAATCAGTGCGGAGCTGGCTCCGTCCTTGTCCTTGGCTTCATCCCTGCAGACTGAAGCTCCCCCTAGGGCTGAGACCTCGGATGAGGGCCGCCCGTACCCTAGGACCTCTACCCCTTCTCCATCCACCCCCCGAGACTCCACACCGATGCTGTTCTCTGCCATTCCGGGGCAGGAAGGTCTCAGCCAGCAGCCCTCAGGGGTACCTGCGACAGAAGCTCCATCCTGGACACCTTGGGACTCCACTCAGGTGAGGCCCTTTCCTCCCCGGGGTGTGCAGGGTGCGGGGCGCTTGGTGTGTCCCGTGGCGCAGGCCGCCAGCTCCCATCTGCGTGCAGCCCTCTGCCGCTCTGCGCCTCCAGGCCCCGCCTCTCCCTGCTACCTGAGTGTGGCCTGCTTTTGTCTCGTGGCACAGGTGATCTGCAAGGACTGGAGCAACCTGGCCGGGAAGAACTACATCATCCTGAACATGACTGAGAACATGGACTGTGTGAGTGCCGGGCGAGGCTGGGGGAGGCGGGCGGCCCAGGGCAGGGGCTGGGGCACAGCAGGGTGCAGGCGACAGTTCAGTCCTCCTGCTTGGTGCCAACCCAGAAGCGGCACCACCAGCGCCAAAAACGAGAAGCACTTCCTGTAGTATTAGATCTGTAAGGGCTCTTCTGTGCTTGCCTCCTTCCCCTTCCTAATTTAAAGGAGCCCTTCGGTTTCTGTGTGCAGCATCTTGTACAGTATGGTAGCCCTTTTTTTTGTGTTTTGAGACGGGGTCTCACTGTGCTTCCCAGTCTGGCTCCCATCACCTGGGCTGAAGTGACCCTCCTGCCTCAGCCTCCACAGTAGCTAGGACCACAGGCATGTGTCATCATGCGCAAAAAATCTTTCTAGAAACTTGTTTTCTCCCTGTGTGAGTTACTTTCCCCATTAGTTTGTCTTGGCCTGGCTTTTCATATGCAGGCTGTCCTGCGCGTTTGCGAGTATTTGCTTCTAGCTCTGTAAGGGCTGGGTGAAGCCGTTTCTGGTGCTGGGGCTGGGGATCAGGGCCTAGTGCATGCCAGGCAGATGCGCTACTGCTGATCTCCACTCTTAGCCCTATTTGAAACTTGGAGGCGGTCTCTCTAGGTTGGCAGACCTGATTTGGAACTTGCGATCCTCCTGTCTCAGCCTCCCAAGTAGCTGGGGTTACAGGTGAAATTTCTCATGTCAGCATCATTAGGTCCTTCCTTCTGGGGTGATTAGACTCTTTGAAAGGATTTCCGTGCCCCAGAAGTGTGAAGGGCGGGTTGTCAGTGTCTAGGGAGCCAGGCGGGGCAGAGGCCAGGGTGTCTCAGGATTCCAAGTGTGCGTGCATAGATAGTGGTACTCATTCGCTCCCCCACAGCCACCACACATGCACACGCGTGCACTCAATTGTGCGTGGTGTCCTCTAGGTCAGGGCCCTGCCTCTAACGTCCCTGGGGCTGGAGGTCTCCCCTGTGGTCCATTGCCTGTGTGTGCGAATCCTTGGGTTATCCTTAGCACTTGGCGGGGAAAAAGTACAAAAATTGCTAGACTTCGATCTTCTACAGGGGAGAAGGACATGGGTCGGGTGTGCAGCATGGGGAGGAGCTTGGAGCCCACGGGTTTCTTCAGCACACTCCTAACCAGTTCCTTTGTTCCGCCCCTCCAGAGTTAACTGGTGCTGATTACCGTGGGGTTTCACGGGTGTGGGTCAGCAGGGACTGATTGCAGCTCTGCTTCCATGTCTTGGCAAGTTCTAAGTCTGCCACCCGCTTTGCCATCCACATTACGTTGCTTGGCCTTCTCGGCTGCTTTGCTTTGTGTTTGTCCCTGTGGTCTTGGAGGTTAAATTCTTTACTCTCGTTTGGTGGGTTTGATGGGAAGGAAAGCAGATATGTGTGTTTAATCAAAATGTGGCCAGAGTGAGTTGGGTGTGGTGGAGCACAGGTGGTCCCAGCACTCAGGAGGCTGAGGCAGGAGGATTGTGAGTTTGAAGCCAGCCCGGACTACATGGTGAGACCCTGTCTAAAAACAATAGCAACAGCAAAAATGAGGCTCCCAGCATCAGTATAAACAGAGGAGTTTTAACATAGCTGATGCGGTACTATTCTTGTTTATAATCAAATACCTCATCTTGGGGCTGGGGATATAGCTCAGCGGCACAGTGCCTGCCGGCAAGCACAGGTCTTAAGTTTGAGTCCCAATACGCACCCCAAAAAAACAAAACACCTTATCGTTGGCCTGAAAGTCTCCTTGTTTTCACCCCTGTTAGTTTTGCGCTTGCCAGGCAGGCACTGTGCTACCGAACTATACCCCTGGTCTCTTGTTTGTTTTTTGTTTTTTTTTTGAGAGAGGGTCTCACTGTGTAGTTCAAGCTGGCTTTGAACTCAATATGTAGCCCAAGCTGGCTTCAAACTCATGGCGATCATCCTGCCTCAGCCTCTCTAGTGATCAGATTACAGATGTGTACCACCACACCTGGCTTATACATCCTTCAGGCCCGCCTATTAGTGTCTGACAGTCTCTTTATTTTCTGGCATAATAAATCACTCTGCGTTCATCCCCCGCCCCCAGCATGGAATCCGCATTTCTGCAGGGAGTCCTTTTTCCTGTTACTGAGAAAGGTACTTAGGCCCTGCAGTGTGGGCCCCTGGCACGCTGGAATCTTTAGTCTGTACTGTACTTTTTTGTTGTTGTTTTTGAGTCTTGGTCTCATTGTGTAGTTCAGATTGTCGCTGAACTCACTATGTAGCCCAGGTTGGCCTCAGGCTTACAGTTCTCCTGCCTCAGCCTCCTGAGTGCTGGGATCACAGGCGAGCACCACCGCGCTTGGCTACTTGCACATTTTTGGTGTTCGTACTTGAATAATAAAGCCTGAAGTTCATATCTCTTTTTCCCACAGATATTAAAATGTTTCTAACATGTCATCCTTGTTTTTGTCTTCTGTGTTATTCTCATTTAACATGTGACATCCATCTAATTATCATAATTTTTGGGTTTCTTTAGTATAGCCCAAACCAAAATTTACCATCTAGACATTTGCAAATTCAAGCCCAGCAGTGTACGTGTATTCACGTTGTTATGAAACAGACTCCTGGGCCGGGGCGGCAGCTCAGCGGCACGGCACCTACCTGGCAAGCGTGAGGTCATGAGTTCCATTCCCAGTACCAAAAACAAAAAGATTCCTGGAACCTTTTCACCTTCAAAACTGAACCGGTTAACAACTTCCTGTTCCCGCCTCCCCTCCCCTCACCCCTGGCAGCCACCTTTCTCTGTTCCGTTTCCAAGAATTTGGCTCCTTCGGATACCTCACGTGGGTCTCCTCCTGCAGGGTTTATCTTTGGAGTCCAGTCCTTCTCCGCTCCGTGTCCCCCAGGTTGGTACCTGTGCTAGCAGGTGTCGGGATTTTTTCCTTTGCGAGGCTAAAACTGTTCTGTGTACGGGCAGAACACATTTGCTTACCCGCTCACCTGGCGCGGATGTGGGAGTTGCTCCCATTTCCGGCTGCCGTGGACATGCTGTGCAGATGCCCTCGGCATCCCGTTTTCGGCTCTGAGGTCCATCCCCAGAGGTGGGACTTTTCCGTCATATAGTCATTCTGTGCCTGTTTCTTTGAGGCCCTCCCTACTGTTTCCCCGGCTGGCTGCCCCATGTTCCACTCACACCAGCACCGCTCTAGGCTCACGTTCTCCCTAACGAATGTGCGGCTGCGCCTCACTGTGGTTTTGAGTTGCGTTTTCCTGATATTGGTGGTGAGCACCAGTCACTATTACCAGCAGCCAGTGTCTGTCCCACTCTATCAGTACACTTGTTCCTTTGCAGTGAGACCATCGCATACCTCTGCTCCTTCCCCTGGTTGGCTTTCCTGCTTCCTCCTGTAGCATTAGTCAGCTTTCTGAGATAAACAGCTTGCCGCAAGGAAGTTTGCTGTGACTCAGGGTTTTGTCCTTGGTGCCTGGTCAGCTGGCGGTGGTGCTTTGGGAGCTGTGGAGAAGCAGCTCACCGTGGTGTAGAGCAAGCACAGAGGAAGCCGCACCAGCAGGGGAGCAGAGAGAGAGGGAGGAGAGGCTGGAGCCCAGTCTCCCTGCAGGACATCCCTCAAGGACGCAGCTTCTTTCCTGCAGCCCCTCACAGGACCCTTGCCTCCCAATCACACCTCGGGCAGCCATCTGGTCTTTAGCATGTGGCCTTCGGGGGACCTTTAAGATCCAAACCATCATATTCTTCTATTTGGTTTTTTGAGATAGGGTCTTGCTATGTAGTTAGGCTGTCCTTGAACTGACTATAGCCCAGGCTGGCCTTGAACTTATGGCAATCCTCCTGCCTCAGTCTCCCAAGTGCTGAGATTATAGGCATATGATTATAGCCACCACACCCAGCTCAAACCATCATATTCTGCCCCAACCCTCAAAGACTCACAGACTCACGTCAGTCTCACAATGCCAAATGCATTCAGTCCCTCTCCAAGACTCCTCAACACCCTAATAGTTCCAGCATTGCTCAGAAGTCCAGGTTCAAAGTCTTCTCAGAGGCAAAAGGCCCACTCTGCTGGAAGCCCCTATGAAAGTCAGGAAGGTCTACTTCCCTAATGCGACAGTACATTGCAAAATCCCCATTCTAAGAGTGAGGGTGAGAAACACAGCAGGGCAGAGGTAAGCCAAAGGGAGAGCAAAGCCCAGAAGGGCAAATGCTAAATCTTCTCAGAGGCTGTTTTCTGTGACTCTGACAGTGCCACACTGCCTGGCCACCCAGTGCTGCCCCTGAAATCTCACTGGATGCCTCTGTGATCCTACAGTTCTTGCATTTAGCAGGCCTGTAAATCCTGCACCATGCAGATGACACAAGGTCTGTGCCAGAGAGGCAGTCGCTGGACCCCTTGGACCATGGCAGCTGTGATCTCCAAGCGCCTGGACAGCTGAGTGCAGGGACAGGAATCCTGGGCAACAGTTCCCAAGCACTCTGTGTGACAGTAGGTGGGGTCTTGCTGATTCCTGAGATGCCCTCAAGGCCTCTTTTCTTTGTCCTGGTGCAAAGTACTTGGCTCTTTTTGAATGACACTAATCTCCACACTCTCTTTGGCCCAACTTTAAGTGCCCTCCTTTTCTGACCAAACTGTAAGTTTTTCAAATCTTTGCGCTCTGCTAGATTTCCATTCACATAAATGTGGCTCAAAGCAGCTGGCAATACCCATGCCACTAACTGAATACTACCTAGAATTTCACTCTACCAGATTAGTTAGTCCATAACCTTTAAACTCAGCTTCCACAAAGTCTCAAGGCATGGTCCAAATGTAGACAAGCTCTTTGTCAGCATGTAATATGAAGACCTCTGCTTCATTTGCTTGTAGCGTCCCCCTTCCCACCCGCAAGCTCATTGGCAGAAACTTTACTGCCTGTGTTCCTATAAGCATCCTGGTCTCTGAGCTCCACTACAGCACTCCAGGCATGGTCTAGCCCACTCCTCAAGCTTTCCCAAACACTTCCAATAACCTAGTTCCAAAGGCTGCCAAACCTCATTGTTGAGTATAGTCACGGCAGTTCCCCTTCTCAGTACCAGTTCTCTGTGTTGGTCAGCTTCCTATTACTGTGACAAAACACCTGAGATAAACAACTTATAAAGAGGAAAAATTTATTTTGGGTCCTGGTTTCAGAAGTCAGTGCTTTGAGGGCTGTGGCCAGGTTGCTCATCATGGTGGGAGTGGTGATAGAGGAGGCTGCTCACCAGATGGCAGACAGCAAGCAGAGAACTAAGGTGGGACCCTAATGTCCCCTTCAGGGTATGCCCAGCCTCATGAATTCCTCCCACTAGGTCTCCTCTCTTAGAGGCTTGGCCAGCTCCCCATATATCCTGGGTGGGACCAAGCCTGTAGCATGTGGCCTCTGAGGGACACTTAAGATGCAAACCCTAACAGCATCCTTTAGTAGCTCTTCCTGCAAGGGTAGCTCTACCTTTGTTTATGTAAAAGTGTCTTTAATTTTCTTGCATTCTGCTGCAGTCAGGGTTTGCAAGGGAATGTGTTTAATACAGGACACATAATTTATAGGATTATTTTACAGTATTCACCAAAAAGTCAAATGCAGAAGAGTGCAGGAGATCTGTCCATACACTAGAGACCCAAAGAATCCAGCTGAAGGCCTGGATCCCAGGACAGTGTACTGCATGAGTCCAGCTGAAGACCTAGAGCCCATGGCAGTGTCCTCCATGAGTCCAACTGGAGGCCTAGAGCCCACAACAATGTTTCAGCAAGTCTATATCAAGGATCTGACTGGGAAGGCCCAAAGGCCAGTGGTGGAAGCTAGAAAGTCTGCATCAGTGGGATGAAGGTTGTGTGCCAGCAGGCTGAGGGATCTGCCCTGGAGCCAGGAAGCGATGCTCAAGGTAAGGACCAGAGCTCTCCCAAGGTGAACTGCAGCCATCCTTAGTGACAGTGAGGACCCGAGCTCCTCAGATGATAAAAGCTGAGTTCCTATCAGGAATGCCAGCGCAACAAGCTTCTCCAGGATAATCAACAGCACCATCTTCCACTCCAGTTCTCTTTCTACACTGTTTGCAGCCATCCTCACCTGGACCCTCCACACCCAGCACCACGCTGATTCAGTTCAGCTGGGTGTTACAGGTTGCCCATTAGTTAATCCACCACAAATTCTTTTTTGTAAATGTATTTTGATGTAATTTCAAATTTGTAGAAAGAATAGTACAAATTCCACATGTGCTTCAGCCTGATTTACCAGGTTAGAACTTTTTAAAACCATTTGGGAAAAGCTAAAGGCATCGTTCCCTTTTGGCCCACCCTAAATACATTAGTGTGTATGTCCTCAGAAAACGAATATCCTCCAGGTAACCACAATACAATGATCAAAGTCGAGGGTTAACATTCATGCAAACTTCTAACTTAATCTACATGATGCATTATTTGAGATTTTGCCAGTGGTCCCAATAGATATTTTGCAGCTTTTCTCTTCTTTGTGGTCCAGCATATCATTGACGACGGTGCCTGCATTTACTTCTCAAGTCTTAGCCAGGCGTGGTGGTGCACACCTGTAATCCCAGCACTCGGGAGGCTGAGGCAGGAGGATCATTGTGAGTTTGAGACCAGCCTGGTCTATAAAGTGAGCTCAAGGCCAGCCTGAACTGCATAGCGAGACTCTGCCTCAAAAAGACAAAAAAAAAAGTCTCTAGTCTCCTTTGGTTTGCAAAGTTCCCAGGCTTGCCTTGTGTTTGATCTTGATACATTTGAAAAGAACAGGAGTAACACATACAAAACATGGTAGGTTGCAGAGAGGCATATCTTCAGAAAAAGAACTGTGCCAACAGCGTCTTGGGAAGGTTTTACAGGCTAGAGCTATGGCTACGGGGATTTGATCCTCCAGCTCTGCAAATTCCATGCAGATTTGCCAGCTTTTGTTTCACCTGAGGTCACAGGAAACTGGCAGAGAACTGCGGAGAATTGGAAAGAGGAAGCGGGAAGGTGGAGTGGGGCTTTCAGAGCTGTCGCCTGGGAGGTCAGACCAAAGAGAACCTGACTCCGAGACGCAGGGACCTGAGCCTTTGCCCCGCACCACGGAGAGAGGCATGAGTGGCCGAGGAGCACAAGGGCGTTGGGCGGTCCTTAGAGAAAACCCTGGTCATCCACCCATGGGCACAGAAGCAGAGCTGACCGTGCCGTCCTTTCCTGGCCCAGCCCTAGAACTGGCCATTTTTGCACGTAGTTCTGGTTGCTTTTCAGGAAAGGTATTTAGAAAGCGCGATGCAGCTGCAGGAGCGCTCAAGGCCCCGGCGCTGTCTGTGCGCTGGGCCTCTTAGTGAACGGTGTGAAGCATGAGCTGAGTCTGTTTTTCCTTTTCCAGTTGTCCCAGCACCTTTGAATAAGTATTTTTCTTGCTCACTTTACCTTTCCACTGGGCCTTCACATTGTAATTCATCCCCAGCCCTTTGTGCGTGCGTGCGTGCGTGTGTGTGTGCGCGTGCGCGCGCGCTTTTTTGAGACAGGGTCTTGCAGTGCAGTTCAGGCTGGCTTTGAACTCACTTTGTAGCCCCAGCTGGCCTCGAACTCGCAACAGTCTTCCTGCCTCAGCCTCCCAAGTGCTGGAATTACAGGTGTGCACCACCACACCCGGCTCCAGCCTTTTATCATTCAGTTTGAGACAGGGTCTCAGTAATTCACTAAGTTGCCAAGTCTAGGCCTGAACGTGTGGTCCTCCTGCCTCAGCCTCTCAAAGTGCTAGGATTATAGGTGAGCACCACCATACCAGGCTAAGCTACAGCCCCAGGTACTTTTCTTGTAATCGCCCGAGGGTGTTAGGACCATTGCCCCATTTTCAGATGAGGAAACTAAGGCTCAGAGAGGTGTAGTACTGCGCTGACAGTCATAGAGCTGATCAATGGCAGAGCTAAGACTGGAATCCAGGGCTGGGGATATAGCTCAGCAGCACAGCACCTGCTTGGCAAGCACAAGGTCGTGAGTTCAATCCCCGGTACCATAAAAAGAAAAAAAAAAAAAAAAGACTGCAATCCAGACTTACTAGATTCCAAAGTCAGGGCTTCTTCCCTTTGCTTCAGACACTCACTGTTCCTCTCTCACAAGTGGTGTGACATCATCTGTCATCATCAGGCAGTGGGGGTGTGAGCTGGGTGCCATCTCTGCCCAGGGAGATACGGGGCTGTGCAGGGGTGGAGCACAGCCCTGCGGCAGGATGAAGGCGCTGGAACCCAGTGCTTGCACCCCGGCCTGGGTGTGTGTGGCAGCCCAGCCCTGAGGAAGGCAGGGACCTGGCAGGAGCTGTGGGCTCCCTTGCTGCACAGTGGCTGCCCCTGGGCTCCAAGTTAAAAGCACATTGCGCTATAGGCCAGTGAGTACCAAGGCTTGGGGCCACGCCTGCACTTACCATGGTAACCAGAAACACAGGTCCAGCGCCTCAGTCACCCTGGTGGCCTTTATGTTGGCGTGACGGCCGGGAACCACTTGCTGGCCTAGGCTGTAGCAACAAAGAAGCTGGGAGTGGCGGGAGACCCCGCGTGGCGGCCTGGTGAGGAGCAGCACCCGTGCACAAGCTGAGCGGCTGGGAGAGGTGTGCCTGGGGCCTGGGAGCCTGTGGGCATGGAGAGGAGGGCCGGGCTGCGGAGGGGAGCTGGAGGGGCAGCAGCTGCAGGATCAAGGAGGGCTGCCTCCCAGAGGGGGCGTGGAGGGACACATGGGGGCGGTGCTGTGGGCAGGAGGCTGCATCCTAGTTGCTGCCACTCTCCGAGTGCCTGTCCTGGGCCCGGCTCCTGCTTGTGTTTTAGTTGTGTAGTTACAGGTGCACATGGGAAGAAAAGCCGAGTGGTCCGGGTGAGTGTGAGACAGGAACGAGGTCTCTCGCGCCTCGTGCTCCAGGTGTGGAGCCTTCTCTGGAGTCACTCTGGGTCCGCCTAGTAACGGCACTCGCCACACCGGGCTGCGTCTGCGGTGCCGTGGAACTGTGCCTGAGCCTGCCACCAGCTCCCCAGTGCTCTGGTGCCGTCTGTGCCACTCCTGTGGTCCCCCTTCCTGTGTCCATTTTCTGCCACACAGTTCATACGAGGCACAAGGCAACCAGCACAGCCCCAGGCCCTCAGCCTGTCACCACTGTGTGTGGGTGTGTCCGTTCCCTTGCTCAGTGGTGTCTCTGGGCTGACCCATGCCTTTCTCATGTTGCAGGCTTAGCAGGGAGTGGGTAGCGGGGTGCACCTTGGGGTTCCCACCAGTGGTGAGATTGCAGCCCCCAGCTGGTCCTCCGAACTGCCCCGAATAGCCTGAGGATCCTTTGGCCACTGGGTGAGGGTGGAGTGGGCCTGGTGGGAACCGAGGGGTCCAGAGCCACCGTCCCTGCCTTGCAGGAGGTGTTCCGGCAGCACCAGGGGCTGCGGCTCCTGGCCCTGGTGGAGGAGGTACTGCCCCGCCACCGCCGTGGCCATCACGGGGACTGGCACATCTCCCTGAGCAAGCCCAGCGAGAAGGAGCAGCACCTCTTGATGATGTTGGTGGGCGAGCAGGGTGAGTGGGGTGCAGGGGGCCCAGGCAGGGCCTCACTGACCAAAGGGGGTCTTGGTATGGGGATGTGGACCTACAGCAGGGTCAAACAGCAGGCCCTGCATGCGGGTAAGAGGGCTGAGGGGCCCACAAGTACCACAGCAGATGCTGGAGGTGGGGCGGGGCCCATATGCCCTGAGGACTCCTGTGCCATCAGAGCTGGGGGTGGTGGGCGGGGCCTGGAGACGCACAGGCAGGGCCAGGGCTGTGCTGATGCCCCTGTCTCTGCCCGCAGGGGTGGTGCCCACCCAAGATGTCCTTTCCATGCTGGGCGACATCCGTAGGAATCTGGAGGAGGTGAGAGCATGGGACTGGGGCACCTGCAACACAGACCAATCTAGGGACGGACTGTGGGTAGCCATCTCGGGCCTCGGGGAGACCCGCAGGGGCCACTGTCACATGCAGTGCTTGCATAGCTTGCGGGAGAGCGGGGCTGTGGGCAGTGTGGGGGAGGCCATCGGGACAGGAGGGATGTGAGAGAAGCGCCGTGTGAACCTACAGGAACCAGAGTGCTCACGAGGTGCCGGCTGGGACATCGGCGGAGCGCCCCAAAAGGCAGTGGCTGGTGTCCTTGGTGGGGGCCTCAGCAGGCTGGGAAATGGGGAGACCTGGGCCGGGAAGCTGGCAACACATAACCCAGGGTGGGACAGGGCCCCGGGGCCCCCGCCCCTCGCACCACCTCTGTTGAAGAGGGGACTTTCCGCTCTGAAGGGACGGCCACCATGTCCATCAAGACGCCCACACCTTCGGGCCACAGTGACCTGTCATCGCTCTTCCTCACCCTTGGGCTGCGCAGTGTTTGACCCCAGGCCTCCCCTTGGCTGTCACGGGTGGGAGCGGGGTGGCTGTGCCCACAGGGCCTCGCTTCATCCTTCCCGTGCTGTTTCGTGGGGTCACCAGGCCTAGCAGGCTCCCTGCTGAGTGCTGCTGTGTCCCGCTTAGGTGAGCTGGTGCCCTCAGGGTGACTGGCTCATGGGCGCGGCAGGGGTGCACAGGCCTGCCTGCCTCTTGCCCCACCCTCCGGGCACTCAGTCCGGGCGGACCGACAGAGGGCACACTGGGTTTCTGGAAGTGCAGAGTGAATGATTAAGCAGGGATGCTAGGGGTGACTTCAGCTAGGAAACCGGACCCTTGCTAACTTCTGAGGCCAGAGAAAAGTGCTGCAGATGAGCGGGGGGCACAGGAGCCATGGCCTTAGCGGGGCCTGGGCAGCCCAGGCCTCTGCACCAGGGCCTCCCGCTGCGCTGGCCACATTCTGAGCTGCTGCGAGCTCTGTCCAGCCCTGGGGTGCCGCAGCCCCTGGGGAGACACCAGGTGCAGTGAGGTGGGAGGAGAGTGCTGGATGGCCACCTGCCAGCGGTGAGTTCTCGGGCGGTATGGGAGGACAGTGACTAGCCACAGGGCACCATCTCCGTGAAGGCCAGAGCCACAGCCAGGCTCTCTGGGTTGGGTCAGGGCAAAGGCCACGGTGGGACTCTGAGGGCCTGGGAAAGTGGCGATGGGGTACGGCTTGGAGGTGTCGCTGGGTGGACAGGACGGAGATGGGGTAGACAGATGCGGCTCTGGGAGTACAGGTCCCCGCCTCCCAGAGCAGTGGGAGCCACCTCTGAGCGCCCTGAGGAGCCCACCACTGAGGGTCGCCCCTCCCGCCCAGATCGGTATCCAGAACTACTCCACAACCAGCAGCTGCCAGGCGCGGGCCACCCAAGTGCGCAGTGACTACGGAACGCTCTTTGTGGTGCTGGTGATCATCGGCGTCATCTGCTTCATCATCATCGTGCTGGGCCTGCTCTACAACTGCTGGCAGCGCCGGCTGCCCAAGCTCAAGCATGTGGTGAGCCTGGGGCAGGGCCGGGGCTGGAGAGGAGGCCCACAAGGGCAGCAAAGGTCCGGGGCACGCAGGGACCAGCTGGCCCTGCCGCTGGCCCCAAGGGTGCCGGAGGTGCATAGTGAGGAGTGTGGGCAGGGGCTAGAGAAGGCCCTGCAGGAGAAGGGGGAAGCCGGTACACACCGCAGCCCAGGTCCTGCCCCCGGGGAGGACGGGGCTTTCTTGGGCCTGCAGCTGCTCTGGTTGGACACAGCCCCGTTCCCTGTCCCCGCAGTCGCATGGGGAGGAGCTGCGCTTTGTGGAGAACGGCTGCCACGACAACCCCACGCTGGACGTGGCCAGCGACAGCCAGTCGGAGATGCAAGAGAAGCAGCCGAGCCTGAACGGCGGGGCGCTCAATGGCCCGGGCAGCTGGAGCGCGCTCATGGGGGGCAAGCGCGACCCCGAGGACTCGGACGTGTTCGAGGAGGACACGCACCTGTGATGCTCTGGACGCGGGCGCTGCGCCCGGCCACCCCACCCCGCCACGCGCCCGCGCCGGACCCATTAAACCTGCCCGGACCCGGGCACCGCGGCTTCTGAGTCGTTCTTGCTGGGGTGGGGCTCAGTCCTCGGGTAGAAGTCGGCTGGTTCTGGGGCGGGCGAAGTCCTCGGAAGGGCTTGGTGCTCCGGGCGGTGGTGTGAAGCGATCCTCCGGGCCGGCCGGGTCCTCCGAAAAGGTCGATCCTCAGGCGGGCTCAGTCGCTCCCGGGCTGGACGCGGTCCTCGGGGCGGGCGGCTCGGTCCTCCGGGCGCCAGGCGCCGCTGCGCAGGCGAGCCGAGGGGGCGGAGCTGCGGCGGGCGGGCCGCGTCTCCTCGCGCCTGTTTACATCCGGCCGGCGGCGTCACAGCCTGAGGTCGCTCGGCTCCGTCCGGGCGGCCGCGCCATGGACACTAGCGACCTGTTCGCCAGCTGCAGGAAAGGGGACGTGGGCCGCGTGCGGTGAGGACCCCGCGGGGGCCGGGGCGGCTGCGCGGCGGCGGCGGCGGTGCAGGGGCGCCGACGCTCCCGGGTGAACCTGGCCGGCGTCTCCGCCCCCACGGCCCCCGAGGGACGGGAGTTCCGCGCGGCGCCTCGCAGCCTGCGCCTTCCCGCCCGGGCCCCGCCGGGCTCCAAACGCGGCCCGAGATCTTCCCAACTTCCAGACGGCTCAGCACTCGGGGCCCGCGGAAGGCTCCCCGGGCCGGCGGTCCGCAGGGACACCCACCCTCGCAGCAGCCCGCCCGGCCTGACCCCCTCTCACTGCACCCCAGCAGCCGCCTCCCGGCTCTGCCCGCTTGATCCGTCCCCCTCCCCTCGGCACCCCACTGCCGGGGACGCGGAGCAGCGTCTCCCGATGGTGCGCTGCCCTTCGCAGTCGCTGCCCAGGCTCTGGCTGAAGGACGGGTCTCATCCCTTGCTGTCCCCGGTGCTGAGCAGCCTGAGTCCCAGCCCGCTGGCCCATCCGTGGTGTGCCGGTGTCCCGCACAGCACCTCCGCTCTCCTGCGGAGGCGCGTTCTCCCTGCGCCTCCTGGGGACCAGGAGCCGCGCCTGACCCCCGCTCTGACTCCCACCCAGGTACCTGTTGGAGCAGCGTGACGTGGAGGTGAACGTGCGGGACAAGTGGGACAGCACCCCACTGTGAGTGCCAGGCAGGGCTGGGGGGCTGGTCTGGGGGTGGAGGGGCTCTGCCTTGCTGACAGCCGCCTGCTGTCCTTCCTTGGCACTCAGGTACTATGCCTGCCTGTGTGGGCACGAGGAGCTGGTGCTCTACCTCCTGGCCAATGGTGAGAGGGTCCCTTGCGTGTGTGTGTGTGTGTGTGTGTGTGTGTGTGCGCGCGTGCGCGCGCCTGCATGCATGCACGTGTGAGTACAAAGAGTGCCCTCGGGCCTCTGCCTTGCAGGGTTGGGGGGGTAGGGGTGGCCTGCAGTACCAGGGAAGGGGCCCCTGGGCTTACTTTGGCCTCGGTGTGGAGAGCTGAGATGAGAGGCTGGGAGGTCGGGAGCCCTCAGGCCCTCCTCAGCCACAGCCCTGGCCCGCTGACCACTGAGCCCACACCCTAGGGGCCCGCTGCGAGGCCAACACCTTCGACGGGGAGCGCTGCCTGTACGGGGCGCTGAGCGACGCCATCCGCCGGGCACTGCGCGACTACAGGCAGGTCACGGCTGCCTGCAGGCGGCACGACTACTACAACGACTTCCTGCAGCGGTGAGGGGCCCGGAGGGCGGGGCGCTGTGCGTGCGCACGGGTGCCGGTGGGCCCGCGCTGGGCGAGCACAGGCGCAGCGCCCCCTTTGCGGTCCCTAGGCTCCTGGAGCAGGGCATCCACAGCGACGTGGTCTTCGTGGTGCATGGAAAGCGGTTCCGGGTGCACCGGTGCATCCTGGGTGCCCGCAGCGCCTACTTCGCCAACATGCTCGACACCAAGTGGAAGGGCAAGAGCGTGGTGGTCCTCAGGCACCCCCTGGTGTGTCCCTCGGGGCGGGGGGTGCACGCTGATTGTTCGGGTCAGTGGGGCTCGTGCCCGTGGCGGCCCCTGACCTCCTGGCTGTCTGCCCGCAGATCAACCCGGTGGCCTTCGGGGCCCTGCTGCAGTACCTGTACACAGGTGATGCCCTTGCTGGGGTGCGGGAGGTTGGCTCGGTGAGCTGTCCCTCCTCACTGCCGGCGCTGCAGTGTGGGGAGGTGGTGGCTGCCCCGGGTGCCATTAGAGGGCGGTGGGAGAGCCTGAAACCAGCCCCATCTTCTCCGGCACCCAGGGCCTTCTGGGTGGGGAGACCAAGGTGACCGGGGTGGGAGGGTGGCGCCATCTAAGAAGCCCCTTCCCCGTGTCCTGATGCCCCACACTACCCCCAGGCCACCTGGACGTCGGCGTGGAGCACGTCAGCGACTGTGAGCGCCTGGCCAAGCAGTGCCAGCTGTGGGACCTGCTTAGTGACCTGGAAGCCAAGTGCGAGAAGGTGTCTGAGTTCGGTGTGTGCAGGGGCCCCAGGCCGAGGGCGGCAGCTGGGCCAGGCAGGGCCGACCTCCTCCTTCACGCTGCTGTTGCCCTGCAGTGGCCTCCAAGCCAGGCACGTGCGTGAAGGTGTTGACCATCGAGCCCCCAGCCACTGACCCCAGGCTGCGGGAGGACATGGCGCTGCTGGCTGACTGTGCCCTGCCCCCTGAGCTGCGTGTGAGTGCGGGGTGGTGGCTTCGATCCTCGCTAACCCCGGCTGGGCCCATCCCTTCGGGGAGCGGCCTTAACGGGTCCTCTCTCCTCCCCAGGGTGACCTCGGAGAGCTGCCCTTCCCTTGCCCGGACAGCTTCAACAGCTGCCCAGATGTCTGCTTCCGGGTGGCCGGTTGCAGCTTCCTCTGCCACAAGGTGCCCCTCCCCTCCCCGCTGCCCTGGGCCCTAGACTGGCTCCTCGGGGGCAGACCCTGGCCCTGGCACTTCCTCCATCTGGCCTCCCCAGGCCTTCTTCTGCGGCCGCAGCGACTACTTCCGGGCCCTGCTGGACGACCACTTCCAAGAAAGTGAAGAGGCTGAGGCCTCGGGGGACCCGCCGGCTGTCACCCTGCATGGCATCTCGCCCGAGGTCTTCACCCACGTGCTCTACTATGTGTACAGCGACCACACCGAGGTGCGGGCCGGGAGGGACGTCAGGGGCACAGTCACGCGGAGCGGGAAGGGGAAGACGGTGAGGGGTTCCCTTTCTGAGAGCTGCTGGGGTTGCACCACCGCTTCCCGTGTGTCGTGGGGGAACTTGGTGGCATCTGGCCTCGGGGATGTCCCTGGCTTCTGGGGGAAGGGCAGGGGCCGCCCTACACCTGCATCAGAGCCGTACTCCGCCCTTGCTGGGGTCCCCCAGCCAGGGAAACTCGGGCACAGAGGGTGAAGAGCTGCCCAGGGCCGCACGGCCAGCAGATCTGAGCCCAGGCCTGCACCTACCTGCCCGCCAGCCGTGGACTTGGCTGCCCTTCACGGCCTTAGGCGGATCATGGCGGGTGCTGGGCCCGGGGAGCCTCCGCCGACCTCAGGGTGCACCTCCCCTCTTTTGCCCCAGCTGTCCCCCGAGGCGGCCTACGATGTACTGAGTGTGGCCGACATGTACCTGCTGCCTGGCCTGAAGCGGCTGTGTGGCCGCAGCCTGGCGCAGCTCCTGGACGAGGACAGCGTGGTGGGCGTGTGGCGCGTAGCCAAGCTGTTCCGCCTGGCGCGGCTGGAGGACCAGTGCACTGAGTACATGGCCAAGGTCATCGAGAAGGTAGGCCACGGCCGGGGCCAGGGCTGGGGGCTGAGGGGCCGCTGCGTGCTGAGCCCGCCTGTCCCCAGCTGGTGGAGCGCGAGGACTTCGCCGAGGCGGTGCGGGAGGAGGCGGCGGCTGTGGCGGCCCGGCAGGAGACCGACTCCATTCCCCTGGTGGACGACATCCGCTTCCACGTGGCCAGCACCGTGCAGACCTACAGCGCCATCGAGGAGGCGCAGCAGCGGCTGCGGGCCCTGGAGGACCTGCTTGTGTCCATCGGGCTGGACTGCTGAGGCCCTGGGGCGTGCGTGCCTGCGCGCGTGCGTGTGTGCGCCTGTGTGTGCAGCTCTTCCCGCCCCTCGCATGTGTGTCCCAGGTTGGAGGGGTCTCTGCCCGCATGCGCCTGGGGCCCCGGGTGGGGGTCTCCTTGGGGTGCGCCTCCTCCCGCAGTGCCCAAGCCAGGCCAAGCACAACTCAGGGAACTGGGCGGGGACCGCACCCACCCGTGCCTGCCTCCTGCCTCGCGCCCGCTGTCGGTCCAGGCCAGCTCAGTGCTCCGGGGCACGGCCAGCGGGAGGGCAGCGTGTTGCGTGGCAATAAAGCTTGTGTTCACTGTGCCTGAGTCTGTTGGGTGCAGCTTGGGGGGTAGGGGACACTTGAGCCTTAGGGGGTGGCCCTGGCTTTCCCCCGGCTCCAGCCCTTAGGTGGTGAGGGGCGGTTGGGGCCGAGGAGAGACTGGCGGACCTGGATCCTGGCCTTGCACCCCAGCCTGCCCCGATGCCCACTTCCCACACCACTGGCCCTGCGTGGGCTCCTGCGCCCAAGGCCTCCTCAGACTCTGCTCTCCCTTTTTTCCCCACTGCTGGGGACTCAACCTTCGTCCCAGCCGTTTTTATTTTGCTGGTCACGTGTGAGGGATGCACACCTAATCCCGCTACTAGGGAGGCTGAAGCAGGAGGATTGCCAAGTTCGAGGCCAGCCTCAGATACATAGACCTGTCTCAAAAAACCAAAAAATTAAAAAATCTTTTAAATTGTGCTGTTTTCCATGCTGAGCACCGACTTGCAGTCCTGCCTCAGCCTCCCAGAGCTCTGGGTTGCAGGCCTGTGGCCCACACCCAGTGTCCACTCCACACCATCACACAGCTCCCCATCTCTAGCACCTGCTGGCCCGGGGGCGGTCTGCCCCAGTGCACTGCTGGCATGGAGCGCAGCAGCCTCGGGTGACGGCTGGGAGGAGGGCGGCACGCGTGTGGCCAGGTGAGAGGGGCTGGTGATCTGTAGCAGCCAGAGATGGATGAGACAGGAGGGGCCCATGGCCGCAGCTCAGGTAGTGCCCGGCCGAGCTCCCGTGGTGGCTGTGCCCGTGGCTGTGAGGAGCTGCTTCCCGTTTGGGTCTCACTTGAGTTCTGACCCAGCAGCCTCAGCCAGCGCCCTGTGGTACAGACCCTGGGGTGTCACAACCTCATTCTGGTGGCCCTGGCAGACCTAAACCAGGCTGCGACCAGGTCCTGGCTTGTGCCGTGCTCACCTTGGATGTGCCAGGTTAGGAAGGGAGATGGAAATATTTCAGGAAAAAGTGTTAACAGACCGTGCGTTTCTTTCCATGGGGACAGAGGGCTGAGGAACTGAGCGTCCGGCTGCCAGGCCCGTGCGTGTCTCGGCAGACTGCGGACAGCACTGGGGAGGGGGACTGCAGGTGGCAGGGGAGGCCCAGTGGCCCCTAGGGCGGGCGGGGACAGCGCTCCCCAGTGACTTGCCCCATTAGTTTGGTTTCTGCCGCGTGGCTCTGGACTTAGCACACGCTGTCCCATGTTTACCTGCTTCCCTGGGTGCTGGGAGCGGAACCCAGGGCCCCGCAGGTGCCAGGCCTCACCCGTTCCTCACGTAACATCAGTCCATTCCTGCTTCCTGGTGAAAAAGTGTTGTTAAATGAAAAATCTTCATTGTATTGTATTGGGAACAATATATTCTGACCCAACTCAAAATATCCCCAGACATTTCCTAGGTAGAAGCACAACTGAATTGAATAAAGACAATGAGGAAGATGTAAAAGAGCTGTGGAGTGCCGGTGAAGGTGCTGTGCAGCCGCCTCCCTCCCAGAAGAGGTGGCAGGCTGCGGTGCAGGGCCACGGGGCTCTGGGATAGGGACCCTGCCTTATTTAAAAGGTGGTTGGATTGCCGGCCTGGGATTCCAGTGCTCCGGAGGCTGAGACGAGGGTCTGGAGGATCACCGCACATTTAAAACCAGCCTGGGCTGCACAGGGAGTTCAAGGCCAGCCTGAACTACCTAGCAAGACCCTGTCCCAAAACAAAACACAACAAAACCAAAAAAAAATCCACTAAATAAATAAAAATAGGAATTTACTTTTTCACCCATCCTACAATAGACCCCTCACCTAGGGAAAAGAAAAGGTGACGTAGTCTTTGCTTATGCTTTCCTTTGCCTGGAAAACTCCTATGCAACCTTCAGTGCCCTTTCACAAAGCAGGGCAAGGAACACAAGCAGAGCTGAGGGCCCCCTTCCCTCCCTCCCCCCTCCCCCAGCCCCTCCCCCTCCCCTCCCGTAACCCTTCCCCCTCCTCCCCTCTCTCCCCTGCCCCTCCTCCTCCCTCTCGCCTGGTGCATGCTGAGCCAGCACTTATCACAGCCACATTCTGGCCCTTGGCGTTTTACCCACATTTTGTGTCAGCTCCGTGAGGGTTTTACAACACTGGTGGGGACTCGTGTGTTCATGCCTCTGGTTTCGTCCCGTGGCTGGGCAGCTGCTGCTCCCATCTGCCTGCAGTGCAGCCCCAAGCCAGGAGGTTGCGCGCGGGGTTGGGTGCGGCAGAGCGTCCTGGCCCCTGCTCAGCAGTCTGGGAGATTGGCCGGGGTGTGTCCCGCTTTGTGGTCCATGGGTCTAGGGGTGGGGACTTCAGGCGTCTGTCCCCCTCCTCAGGCTGGGAAGCCCTTGGGCATTGCTGGCCCTGCCAGCCTCAGTTTATGCATTTATCTGAAGGGAGCAGCGTCACCCACCACCCATGCTAGCGTGGCAGGAGGCTCCATGGCTCTGCCCACACCTCCAGGGCGGAGCCTGCGCTGCCTGGGCGCACAGAGACCTCACTGTCTCCTCCTTGGGCTCAGGCTTAGCCATTCCCAGCCCTGCTGTTTCTGCCCCTCTGTGGCCGTGATGTCCTGACTGCAGCATCTGTCAGCTGGGCCTTGTGTCTTCTCCCAGCTGTCAGAGGGGCTCCTCCAGGAAGCTCCACTGTGCTCAGGGTGACTCGCACACCCACACCCTGCCCAGGGCCGCCTGGACTCCCTGATAACTGAACGCTGCCCCTTGCTTTTCGGCTGGCTTAGGCTCCTTTCCCAGTGTCCCCTTGGCTGCAGCCATGCCTGTTAGCTGTAGATATGAGCAGAAACACTGGATGCAGTGTCTGAGCTCTGATGTACCCCTCTGAGGAGGCATGACTCTCCCTTTCCTTTTCTTCCCTGTCAGCTGGAATGAGGGTGAGGTGGCTGGAGCTGCAGCAACCATGTTGGACCATAGGCCGAGGCCAATGTGCTCAAGACCCCAAGGCAACGGACCAAGAGGTCATCTAGGAGGAGGAATAAGGGAGCAGAGAGGCCTTGGTCAGAGCCATATCCCCTACCTAGAGCCACAGCTCTGCCAGGTAGCCCCGTGCATGACAGCTCTGAGTATGGTACTGCCCCCCCCAGGTTACTGTTCTTGGTCAGGTGCTGCTGGGGGCTGTTTCCTGCCCTCTGCTCACTCCTTCCTTGCCACTGGCAGTAAGAGCTCATGCTGCCCGGCCCTGGCCACCAACCCTCTCTGGGCCAGGTGCTCAGGGGCGGCTGAGTCATGAATGTGCAGGAGGGTGTGGGCGCTGGATGCTTTGGGCAGCTCTGGGCAGCGTGCGGACATGGAGGTGGCCCAGGACCACTGCCTCCAGAGCCCTTGCCCTGGCCTCCAGCGCCCAGCACGACCCTGCCGCACCCACAGGGCCCAGAAACACGGCTCACAGCTGCAGAGCCCAGCATGGCCCTTCCAGGGTGGAAGTGGGTAGTAACGCAGGGCGCAGGCCCTGAAGCCAACCTGGGGGCTGGTATGGCCAGCCCCACTCCCAGCCATTCACTTGTCCCCTCTCCTCCCTCAAGCATTCATTCGTTCACCCACCCACTCACCC